CCGGAAAACTGTCCTGTTCGAAGTCTTCGTAAGGAACGTAATGCGGATCCGCCTCGTCCCGGATCGGTACGTCTCCTTTAAGAATCTTCCCCATGTAAACGTCATTATTTCCGCGCACATGACTTTCTAACCACTGTTCGAGGATGGGCATGTTCACGAAGACGTTGTCCGCGGATTTTAAAACAAAGTCAGGGGCGCAGTGCATTTTGGGTAAATGTTCGGCAGCCCACTTCAGACCAATCACCGTCTTCCGAGACTCCTCGTACACCGCATCTTCAAAGTCTCCCTGTATGATGTCACCGTACCGTTCAACTTCAGCCACGATGTGTTGGGATATGATATTTCCATACGAATTCCCCATCACAAAAACGACCTTCCATCTATTCGGGTCCGATTTTGAGAAAACCTGCATGTTGCCAGGCAACCCCCAAGTACGCCGGATCGCCACGCGCTGTGATACATTATCTGGCTCACTTTGAACTAGAACGATAGTATGCACTGGGTGTTCAAGGCAATCCAAGTAGTAAGGACTATGAATTAAATTCACGGCAAAGTCTTTCGGGTTTGCTCGTTTATACATAATTTCTTCACCATTTTCGTCGAATTTTTCGATCGGTTTTATGTGCTTATTTGGTTTGAAGGCTGGAATGATGGGGTCCTGATCGGGGTGGTTAATGTTGTGTTCCCTTGCTTTGATCATATTCTTTTCAATCTTCAATCTCTCGATACCCTCTTTCTTTTCGTAAATATCCGTGTTTCTGGTTCCTTCCATTTCCTGGGCTCTCGCCAAGCCGGCATCAAATGATGGACCCGATTGCCATGGTTGTGCCCGCTGGTCACGGGCGTTCTGGAGAAAGATGTAGTAGATGAAGATAATGATTGCTATAGCAACGGCAATGTAGAGAGACGTAGTAGGTCGATGACGTCGCGTCATGAAGACTGATGACGGATTCGTCAGTAAAGCAGCCAATAGACTCATTAGTACTCAACAATAAATATCGGAACGGTGTTTCTTAAACAAATCCCGGTTTTTGAACTAAGAAGGCAGACGAATGGTTTCAAGTCACGGTAACTTACACAGATTTGTAGTACTCGCGGTCCTCGACTTTAATGAATACAGTGCTACGTGGACAGAAATTATTTGATCGGGAATATCGATTAATGTGAAATGGACATGCGACGGGAAATGCAACAGATTACAGCAGCTGCTAAAAAATCGCGAAATGTACAGTGACATTTTTCACTGGGGTCCTCCTATGTGTCGCTGCGGCTTTCGCAAAATATTGTTTCCAATTACGCCATTTAATCATCAAATCGGGAAAATAAAATTCCTGCATATATTAACATATATTTGTTTAAAATAATGACATTTATTACATATGTACTGCAGTTTATTTTGATTCGTCCCTGAAATCAAAATCGGTATTTCCACAACCCATATGCAAATGAGGTCTGAGAGCAAACAAAGTAATCCCTTCAGGAGTACAGTGTTTCGGAATAAACAATATTTAGAAGTACGATATTTTCCCCTTGGGGTACATGAATATACTTGCCGAGTGAAATGAAATTTGAACAACAGTAATGGTACTTTTAGGCAGTCACTTATTTTGGACTACGATTGGGAGAACTTAATGTATATTGACCACCTGCACACTGAGTTTTATAAACCTTGAAGGGCTCTCAGAAGATCCACCAGCAGTAAAATCAGCGATTATTATGCAGCCGCAACCATCAGCATCGAGATACCAGGTTTCTGCTGGTGACGTTGCGGCGTTACTCAGTTCCAAATAAAAATTACCAACGCCAAAAGAGCAACATTTTAACCGGTAATCAAGATTCAGTCAATCCACGACCAGCAAGCAAGTGACATCACACACGAAGTTGTAGCGTGCAGCTAAGCGACAACCGCTGTCGACGAAGGTCATCCCGTCTGTGGAGTACAGCAGTTGCACGGCATGTTTGCCAATGCACAGTTCTGTGGCGGAACTTTTAACTTCAACATAAACTGTGTATCATAAATACGATATTTACTATATGGGGGCCGCCATCTTGAATGACGCATAAAACGAAATAAGAGACAAGTCGTGAAACGCGTTTTTCAGATTCCTACAAATCAGGACAAAAATACCAATCTTTCACAAAAATACGGTCCGTTGGGGTCTTATTAAGCCAACCGATAACAAAATTCGGCCCAATTCGTCGTTTTTGTGTGGAAAATTCCCTTGCATACGAACACCTAATTACGCGAAGAACCTGGAACACTTTCCTTGGGGGTATTTAAAACAAAAAATTGGCATTCCAGCTAAGCAGCCAATCAGCGACGGCCTAACGGTTAGATGACAATTTTGGTTTCAAATACCCCGGCTTCGTGTTCTAGGTTCGGGAGATGTTATTGTACACATACAGACAGGTAGAGTAACCGCATATTCCCCACTTGTGTTTTGCACACAGGAGCTAAAAATGACACAAAAAAATATCTGAGCATCGCAAGATAGGCAAACTGCAAAGAGTTTAGTTGACCTAACTGTCATGTTCGATCAATATTGCCCCCAATAAAAATCACAGAAAAGGCAAAAAGCCCTTCCTGGCAAAAATACTCCGAGGTATTCGAGGTCAAATTTCTCGGCAATGAAAAAATATATCAAAAAAACAAATAGTAATTTTAGGCCCATACCCAAGCTAAGTAGAATGAGATATACCCAAGGTTTTTACTACAAGGCTGATAAGAGGAGATACATTTGGCGCAAAGGTATTCAAAAATCAACAGTGGACCAAGATTTTGTTTCAGATTTTACCACCTAACTAGAGTAAATGTGTTATTTACCTGCCAAGTTTGGAGGAATTTGGCCTAGGGAAAAAAACAAACACACACACAAGTGATTATAAGCCAGAGGCGACGGCACGAAATCTTGTATGGAGGGGCGAGATCTTGTATGGAGGGGCGAGATCTTGTATGGAGGGGCGAGATCTTGTATGGAGGGGCGAGATCTTCTTACCAACCTTGTGCTGAAGGCGCGACCTTACCAGGGGGTCCGAGACATGCTCCCCTTAAAAATGTTGAAATCCAGACCCTCTAAAACGCTATTTCCTGCATTTGCGGGGCAAATTTTGCTGACACAAAGGGTTTCACTTTGATTTTGGAGGGGCGACCCCCCCCCCGTGCCACTGTAAGCGGGCCGTCAATAACAATCATAGTTGTCGTTATGAACGACTGTCAAAATGTTTTCAGCGTCATCTGCGTAACGCCTACGCCATAATCCGAGGTGTTTGTCACTCTGCCTTGAACCATTGACCTCTCTTTCTAAGGTCTATGCTTGAACTGGTTATAGCGGGCATATGCTATCAAAGCCTACCGACAACTTAGCCTTCATGTTTTTTTGACAATAAAATAAAATAATATGAGAGTGTATAAATAGCGAAAGCCAGGTTATCACGAAAGCCGGCTTACGCCATTTATACACTCACATATTTTATTTTATTGAAAAGATTACCAACAAATAAACAAGAGACTATATGCAATTCTACCGATAACTACGAAGCATGAAAGTGTTTAAAATATTGTGAATACTTCGAAGTTTGTATTTATCACAATTTCTTTCTGGTCCTAGTGACATCAATTGCTGTATATATATATGCGACAAATTTACTACAGATTAGACTACGTGTATTAAAAAAAAAAAACACGACGATTTGATTGGGCGAAACCTCCCCCAACTGCAACAGCCGTGGTACAAGTTAGTTAAATCGTGGTCACGTGGTGGTATATAAACCACGGGTACAAAACACATAAAACTCCCGTTTGATTGACCTTCTCTTTCTAAGGTCTATGATCAAATGCACCTTAGAAAGTCTTTGTCCAAATTACGGGTTTCAGCTCATGATCTTAATCGCCACCAACAAATTTTTAGGGAGTTCACAATTTGTGAATGTTGTTGGCCTACCCATACTAAAATTGAGGATGAATACCATTTTTGTCTGATATGCCCTCTGTACAGTGACCTTAGAAGTAAATATATTGTAAAATATTATTATGAATATCCGACCCACTTGCAATTTTCTTTGCTGATGCAATCCAATAACATAATTGTTCTGCGCAATCTCACTAAATTTATCTTTCTTGCAATGGAAAAAAAGAGCAAGCATTTTATCCCAATTGCCTGAATCAGCTGGCGTTTGCCGTCCTACACTACTAACTTAATTATATATTTATTTATTTTATTTCTTCTTGAGTGTCAGAATTTTTCATGTACATCATGTATTATGTAACTGTACTTATTTCGGGCCAGTGGCTCGTAATACTGGATTAAACTAAACTTGTAGTTTTTAGTAGTTCCCATTAACATGTAATTAAGTTTTTTTCATAGAAAGTTTGTTCAATTTGCCGGAACCACTTGTTAACATAAGCTATTTCTTCATTTACAATCGTTTCTAATTGCTTAATGTTCTCGTGGGAATCAAATAAATTAGTATCATCAGCGTATATTAGGAAATCTCTTGTGTATTTTTTGCGGACAAAGGGAAGATAAGTCGAAACTTACTATGTTACCCTCGTTAAATAAAAGTTTATTGTTATTAGATGACGGGGCACATGCAAACGTAATGCAAAATTGTAATGGGATGTTTCTGTCTCAGATCATATTTGTGTTGTATTATTTCGCTAAAGAAATCAGTGGACTCGATAAGTGTTATTACTTGTCATAGAAATTTGCTAATGCTTCCTACATCAGTTAGAGATATGGAATCGGCCATGTATTGATCATTGAGCATCTTTAATTTTCTAGGTATAATGTTCCAGCAGAGGTGGATGAATCGACACGAAACCGTGAAATATTGAGACAGATGTCGAAAAGAAATAAAAACGAAAGAAATGAAATAATCTCATAGATGGCGCTATCTAAAGGCGTCGTTGTCATGACATCAGTGATGTAACTGTTCAACATGGCGATTGTCGTTCAGCCATTTGGATAACTGCGTAGGTCAAAATCCGCTAATTTTGTGAGAAAGGAAGCCATGTTTCGGTGACTAGCGGGACTGTGGCTGAAGAAGGAGCTCGATGCGATTCGGTATATCACAAGTGAGTAGATCACTGTCCAAGTTTGCGTAGAAACTCTCGTCGTGACTCCCGCCGTCAAACTATGGTGTTTATGGATTGAATGTCCCCTCTTCCAATAAACCGCCATTGTGATTGTAAACAAACTTCACTGTGTGTGTGTATGTGTGATCAACACTCTTGGTTAATAGAACATGCACACTGTACAGTTTTTAGCGCGTGTCTGGTCACCTGGTCACTCTATAAAATCAGTCTAGCGACGTTACGTGACGTGGAGCTTCAGACAATTTTTGTTTTAGTTTTTTTTACGAGCGTTTCAGCCACGGTTTAAAAAATACGTCAAGCCCATTTTAGTGTTTTATCATAGCCCCGACCACAGAAAATTTTAAAAGCTGTACCGAGTGATTGAAGCTCCCTGACTCTAATCATAATCCTGCTCATTATGTCCCGTCTCTCATTTTAATTTATATATGCTCTATCTTCAAGACGCATATAGTTGAACGGGGGGGGGGGGGTATACAATTACATGTACATTGAATGGCTAGAGTGTTAAGGTTCAGGTTTAATAGTGATGGGGTGGGGTTTTTTCAAATGTATGACTAACTGCAGTTCTGTAGTCCTCTTGGTTTCGCTGAAGCCCATTTTTATCGCAGTTGTAAGGTTATTTCACACGTCGTGGGAGATGACCACGAAACCTGATCACCCAGTAGCAATCAAAATACCTCCAATACAAACTACAACAAAACTATGAGAACAGCTGACGTCATGACATTTTGTAGGCAAATATTGTAAACAAAATAGTATGTTCTGGTAATTTGATCAGCGATTTAGAATTCTAGCCCAGCAAAAGCACTGTGCGTACATTTCACTTGATAAATTTGATTTGAAGGGCAGTGGTCGTACGACCGCATCCAGCTCGATATGGGATTCATAAAAGCATACACAGCATGTGTATAATACCTGTTTCGAACACCCCCCGTACAATGTGGTATAATAATAATAATAATAATGACCCTGGAAATTTCACATTCTTTAAACGAGTGTAATGACAGGTTTAGAAAAAAAAAATACTGTTTAATAACTCTGATATTGCAGGGTCATGAATTTGATATCTTATTTATCCCATTTGTCAATTTTTCATCTTCTAAAGGCATTCTGGGGCTTGCAAGTACATCATTTGAAGCATATGCCCTGTCAACATAACAGGATGCCATATATTTGCATGCTAGGTGTGAAGTGGAAAACAATACAATCGTAGATGAAAATTATTTAAAAGTTGTTGACCTTAATCTGTTAAAAATATTTAGACTAACTAGACATGAATACCAATGTGGACAACCACTTGGTGATGATCTTTATTTATCATGGAAAATTGTATTTGATGGAAAAAGCCATAATAATAATAAGACGGTTTAAGCAAACACCAATCTCACATCGGAGACTCAGTGAGTGGTAACCAAAGCAGTGCCTCAAAAGGTTCTCAACACAGCATAGAGGATTGGTACCACTGTGTCAAGGAGCTAGGTCATCTCATTTTTTAAAGTAAAACAATCCAGACACATACATCTTCATTCATTGTTTTGTTTTACCCCATATAATTTTTTGTAATACTTAATAATACAAATTTATAATTTTTTGTTTTATATACTCAATATTAATATTCAATATAACATTTGATAATAATAATTATGAGGTTATTACAAGGATACCTCAAAGTATGCACGAAGACAGTACAGCAGGATTATCGACTGTCACGCAGCGGAGGTCGATGCAACGGTGCACTGTCTGAGTGCATATTTTGAGGTATCCTCGTAATAACCTTATTATTATATATCTTTCTTCCAAGAATACACCATGGGAATGCCAAAATTCAAAATGTTTAGAACAGAATCAGCGAACTTCTTTGTGTGGAGTCCGGTCAAACCCTAGTTGCAGTCATGTTTGTTTTTATTATTACAGGACGCTTACATGTGTAATCATACCATATTTGAAATTGGCATTTCCTAATATGGTAGAATTAAAATATCCCGTAAAATATCACAAAGATATGACACGCTATAACTTATGGCGTTACGATGACAGATGTATAATAATAGTATTTATTGAATTTGTATCCTTATTGGGATTTTGATAACATAACAATAAACCAAAAAAATTAGGAAAAGATAAGAGATGTTATATTTGTATTGGTGACATCCACCAGAAGACTGCATCCATGGCGATTTCTTAACAAAAGATAATAGAGCCGGGCCTTCCGACGTATGAATGATGTGCACACTCAGCAACTGCGTGGCAGGAAAGACGTTGACAATAGATTTTCCATTCATTAAATACCATGTATGAATTAGAATAACAGACAATTAGCATGTAGATCCTTTTCAGTAAGCAATTAGTTGGTTCGTTGACATTGGTGGCGTCCTTATTACTCCACTTAAAATTAGCAGACGTACGTGCATTTCACTTTGAGTAGGGAATCGACGTCCCACGTACTCAACACAATTCGTTGCTGGGATTATTCTGCCCAGGTTATATTTATCATTGTAAATGTGCATGCTTCATGGAATTAATTTTATAATAATTACATTACTATGATCTGAAATTACATATGTATTTTGGAACCTTGTGACAGTCGCCACTGTAAACTGTTATGCTTCAGTCCCTCTCGCGTAGCAAATGTGCCTGTCTGGTGGTGTCACTCAAATGTATTATAGACAGTGGAAGTCAGTTGTCAAGAACAAAGGTGTTGTTCAGTCAGTGTAATCTATTTTGTTTGTTGCCACTGCAAGGGAAAGCCGACAGTTGGTCTGCGCCGATATATGTATCTATATTTTATAGCACATATATATTATTTTTTGTCTCACTAGGACAGTGATGTTTCAGAATGTCTAAAACATCATCTTACGCAATACGGCATAAGCTAGATGAAACGTCATGTGGACCCTCATGTCAACATCCCGAGTGCTGGGCTTCAAATAGACGAATTCAGAAGCATGTTCCTAGAGTCTTGACACCAGTCGCCAATACGAGCAGACGTAGTCATGCTGTGGCAGATAATGATTATCACCTTGACGATGAGGACGATGGTAAGATTGTATTTCCTAAATTTGTAATTATAATCAATTTACGTTACACAAAGTTTTCATTTGTTTGTAATAATAGAAGTTTTGATTTTTGTGGTAACAGTTAATTATTAATACGATTTTACAAATGTAGGTGGGGTTGAAGTGAACGCACAGGTGATAACAGATTATATTGCCCATATATCAGCATCGCGCAATCTATTGAAACTGCTGTATGTGTTTTGAAAAAATCTCTTCAAAAAAAACACTTTTGTGTTTCAAATCAAAAATCAAGGGCGAAGACCCAGGATTTTCATTCCCTGGCAACCACAACCGGTAAAAAAATGGTTGAAAACTTTCAAAAAAGTGTACCTTGGGCTATAAGATTGTTCTTACATGTGCAACATATATAAATTTAGTTGTTCAGGATTGTCTCATAGCTGAGTTTGTGCTATTTTCTCAACTTTATCTGTTTTCACCAGCTGTTTGACTGGCGTTCCACAGCAGCTCACGCAGAGCCCATAGAAATACATGGTACAGTGGTGCGCGTGACGTAGCTCTGATTCTGAGAATTTCCCATAATTACCAAATCTAGGGATTATCTGTGGCTGTACACAGAACATTGACCCAAACAGTGTCTTCATCTTCTTTTTTTCCACAGATTTTGGTCTACCAACACTCAAAGTGAGAAATATGTTGGATGATTATGGTTACAGTGAGAAAGATCGATATCCTTCTATAGGTAATGGACACTTGAAAGAAAGTCACAGAAGAAGCAGCTCACTGCCGAGTATTCGTAATTTGGACAGGTGGGTTTCACCCAGTTGCATGTCAATTTGTTTTCCGAAATTGATATGCATGGGTATTTATACAAAGTATTCAAATGTATTGAACAATACAACAAAAAAACTTAGAATTATAATCACAAGTGTGTTGTCATTTATTTTATTGTTGGCATGGAAACTGATAAAATGCTCTAAATCTTCAACATCAAGTAAATTTGTGCCCTCTATTTTTGTTTTAATTTCTTTATTGCACTCCAAATCTCAATTTAAATATGAATAGTGTGAGTGCTGGATATTGAAATACTTTTATTTTTAATTGATGTAGTCTTGTGCCACCCAATCCTCCTCCTCCAACCACTTCGCCTACCAGCTCTGCACCTGAAAGTCATCGCAGCACCCAGAGTGCCCCTCCCCCTCTGAAACCCATCATCCCCTCTATCAAAAAGGTTGAGGTCCATGAAGTGTTCGACTGGGAGGATCTGAGGAAAAACTGGACGGATACGTTTGTTGCTTCCCAGTATTATGTATGGTGTCCTGCCAAGAAAAAGGTACAGAGGAGAGTACAGAAAGAAGATGCAAGTACAAGGTGAGTTACATAAACAAATATTTTTATAATTTTTGTTGTTTTATCCATAAAAGCTTGTACTGTCTCTTCACGTTGTTAGAACTATTTAAATCTTGGGAAAAGACAGAAACAGTTGTGAAAAAAGTTGGAAAAACACATAAAAAAAAATTGATCAGAAAAACCAAGATATTTCACAAGTTATATTAAAGTTCACATTTCTGTTCAATTTGAATTTCAAAATTGATGAATTATTTATCGTTGATACAGTGATTAAGTTCTCCTTATATCAAGGAAGTATATTGAGTCCCTCAATAAACTTCCTTGACTTGGAAACTACATTTGCCAGCTCCATCAATAAATGGGAGAATGGTGTTGAAGGTAACAACTGTCCAACCTCTCCTGAAACCTCATAATGAATCTGCAGGAATTCCCCTTGTAGAGACTAGTGGATCTCTGTGTGACAATTTTGTGTCAGTCTTAGAGAACAAGCTGATGATGAGGCTGTCAGTTCAGTAAATGCTGGATCACTTTGCCTGTTGAACTGGGTACTAATAATACTATATTTAATTTATGTAATTAATGCTTTTTTTAGAACCTCTAGTCGAAGCAACAGGCAAATAAAAGCTAAAAACATCAGTGGAGATCTCCTCCCTTCAGAAATGCAGCACCATCCCAAGAAAAAAGTAAGGCACTAATTTAATAAAACTTTAAATTTATATTCTGTCTGGTTACTAAACATGCTACCATAACAATGTATAACAATGTATAGTTCTAGACATTGGATGTCACTGTTGTCTCTCCTGACTTTTTTTTTGTATGTGTAATCAGTGTTTTCAATAGCCTGAAAAGTCAAAAACGACAATAGCGAAAATTGGTCGTCAGGTAATATTAGCAGGGATTGCGTTAACCTGTTTCCTAGACCCCCAAAATTGAGAGGGACCCCTACTTAAGTACAAAAATGGGTCTTATTTGTACACAGAATATATTTTCAGTTGCAGTTCGTTTTGACATCAGGACTCGCTACACGAAAAATGCTAATGCAATCCTTGAGTAGCATGCTTAGTAACCTAATTTTCGAGAACTCACTCTTCCTAGTTGCTACCTTAAAGCGAGGAAGTCATCATAGTGTGTCACTGTTTAAAAATAAGCATCTACCCATGAGCCTTTGTGTTTTTAGCATGCGTTGTCGCTTAGGAGTCGATTCTTGCGAGTGAAGACCTCTCCGCTTTAGTTTGTTACATTATAAACACCGCTAATAACACAATTGATTCTACTACAACTTTTGAGCAAAGTCAACTTCCAAATTTTGATCAAGACCAGCCAACAAGAAATAATCAAAAACATACAAACAACTACATGTCTAGTGAAAAAAAGATTCTACTGTTATCTGGTAACTCTGGCCGTGGTCAACCACGGTTAGGATCATTGCATTTGATGGCCGACCATGGTGAGTCTGGTTACGCGACTATCCATGATCACTATTTCACCTGTGTAGCAAACTTTGGACGTCAAATTTACATACTTTCTAAGTTTAATAGTTCTGTTTAGCATGCACACACTAGGCGGAATTTCAACAGCAATGCATGATGGGATTTACTGTAGTATAACTCATGAAAAACAAGATTTTGATTTTTACCCAAGTCACTCAAAATTGAAAGTGCTTCACGAAGTTTTGCTGACAATACAACTATTATAAAATCAATTCTTTCCAAAATGTGTTAAATACATACCATATTTACTCTGTTAGAAGCGCATGTAAAACATCAATTCTGTTAACTCAATCATTTAAATATTACTTCTTTTGGCCATAGACACATTGTGGTCGTTTACATAAGCACATACTAATAGAGCAAATACGGTTATGAAATTGCCTGGAACAGAAGTCTACCAACTCACCATTAAAATTGGCTTCAAAATTAAAATGTTCTGTATTCGCAAATGATGCATAATGTAATTTGTAAACACCCATGCAGCTTCACATACAATACCCCCAACCCCTCCAATGAATGTCAAATAATAATCATAATAACAATACTTTTTTCCTCAATTTTACTTCTCTCCATATGCCGATCACCCAATGCACGTACTAGTTCGCACCAGTGTTCGGATGTCTTGTAAGTCGCAACAAGAACCACCAATGTAAACTCTAAGATGAGAAATTTAGTTTAGAAATAAACTGCATTTGCATAATATAGTTATGACATCACTGCTAATAAGTAATTGGTCAATTATGCGGCTATACATGTGTGTACATTTTGAGTACTGTGCGCTGCTTTATTCTCGTTGAAAATATGCATGACCTCTAAAGGTCACACATCCTGGTACTTTTACTATCAAGGAGAATATCTCAAGTATTATTCGTCATAATATGCAAGTAGTTGTCATGGAATATCAAAAACAGTTTGAAAAAACTGAGATACACGTACCGGTATGTTTGAAATTGTTGCTGCATTATTCTCGGAAAGTGCTAGGACATGTGATCTTAGGGGTCGTATTTAAGGATCTGTTGATTTGTAAAGAATTACACATGAAACATAGAGAAAAATATTGATTTAATGATTGATTTGAATTTTTCTGAATCATCACTCCGGTGGAAATAGTGAATACAAATGAGAATGAAATAGTTTACAGTACATACAAATGCTATGTGCAACTATACCTACTGGTTCTCATCTTATTTAATCTCCACATACTTCAATGATTTTTTTTTTAAAAACAAACATTATTTAGATTATTAGTAGTACTGTATTTCCACTATTATTTGCATACACACTTACGTATAAACACCATGATCATCAATGTGCCAGGTTTCCATCATAAGTTTTAAAAAATACTATACTTCCTTCAATTAATACATCATGAACCTCATTTCAGCTTACGTCATGCACTTCCGTTGGAGGTGCGCTTTTTAATAGAGCAAATACAGTACTGTTAAACACCAACATAGTTATTTTGAATGAGCCTTTCCCGTACTGACTGAGACAATGCGGTTGTTGCACATCGTCATTTGTACTTAAGCCTTATATACATGTATAGCTTGTAATACTTTCTTAATCATCACTAACTTGAAAGTAGCGTTAATTATAAAAAAAAAAGTACTTCTCAGAGAGTAATGTAAATCAGTATAAAGCAGTAGATAATTTAAAAAAAGTGTGAATATGGGATTAAATTGTAGTTGGTGTTATGTTGTTGTGAAGTGAAAACACATTTATCGGTATATATTTCATTTCTTCTGCTGTAGCCGAGTAGTAGGCGGTCTCGTAAAACCCCGTCTGGTGGCCAGCCGTACACTCCGAGGACTAGCGCCAAGCGGTCAACATCACAACAGATACAGATGGTTGAGATAGGACCTGTAGAAAATATTGAGCCTGACGGGTAAGTTACTGTCTAGCTAAATGTATATTTACTAGATATTGAACTGATACTTTTTTAAAATGGAGAGTGAAGGTATTGGGCGGCATATGTGTCACTGGTGTTGTTAGTATTTGTTTTGTTGGTGTGATGTCATGTCTTTTAAAGACAGGTGTTTGGTTTTAGACATTTTATTACATATGTTTATAGCATGTCATAATATTGGATAAAATTGTTGAAATTCATTTTTTTAGCTCCGCTGTCGACTTTGTCTAGCCGTGCTTATCATATGAGTGATTGTCCGTCGTCGTCCGTGTCAATGTTTAACTTTTTCGACTGCTTCTTGAAAACAAGCCTGAATGCTTTGATACTTGGTGTATATGTACCTTGGGTAGACTTCTCTTAGATTTGTACATTTCATGATGATATCTTCAATTCTCTAACTTTGATGAATATTTTTGTCATTTTGGGGAAAAAGTTATATTTTCGACTTCTTGTTTTGATATTATTTATATAGGTACTACATGTGGACCTCTCTCACATTTGTTCATTTCATGATGATATCTTCAAATCTCTAATTTTGATGAATATTTTTGTCATTTTGGGGAAAAAGTGATATTTTCGACTTCTTGTTTTGATATTACTTATATAGGTACTACATGTGGACCTCGCTCAGATTTGTTCATTTCGTGATGATATCTTCAATTATCTAATTTTGATGAATATTTTTGTAATTTTTGGTGAAAAGTGACAAGTCCTCTCTTAGATTTGTTCATTTCATGATGATATCTTCAATTCTCTAATTTTGATGAATATTTTTGCCATTGTGGGGAAAAAGTGATATTTTTGACTTCTTGCTTTGATATTACATATATAGGTACTACATGTGGACCTCGCTCAGATTTGTTCATTTCGTGATGATATCTTCAGTTCTTTGATAGAAATGTGCATTGCTAACAGCGGAGTTATCTCAGCCAGCAGGCTGCTTGTTATTTATATATGGTTCATGTATTCTTTATATTATGTTTATTCGTATCATCTCATTTTTTCCAGACTAAGCGAACTTCTTAGTTTGCCGCGAGATATTCTTATTGAAGTATTACAGCATACAAAACAAAGGTGTGTTGACGATATTTATCTCATGGTATTTGTTTTTTTACAAACATAAATGTAGAATTTGCCACTTTTTTCATAAATACTTTCAGTTTGTCAACGTCAAGTTTTTTGAATACCAAAATAGTAAAAATCAGTGATTACAAAAACATTAGATGGCATACATGGTGCATTGTTTGTTATCAGAAAGTAACATTTTCACTTGCGATGTTTCATGGCAAAAAAACACCAAAAAAATATATTACAAATACAAGTGAGTTAGCAAAGACTTGCAGATATATTGTATTAAAATACATTTTGTTTCCTAATATCATGAAAGCTGTTAAAACTCTTTCAGTACTTGTTTTGCTGTTTGAAAAGTACTAATTGCCTTTCGCAACCAAATCAATGCTAACACTTTGTACTACAATTTTTATAATAACAAATGCTACTTCCAAAATGAATTCTTTGCAATCATCAATATTCCGAAAGTGCCAGAATATTACAAAAACTGTCGCTAGTACATTTTTACATTACATGACATGTTGTATATGATATTGTAAATTTGTTTTGGACTATTGGTACTTATTTCTCTCTGTGCTCTTCATTTCAGTGATCTACTCTCCAAAGAAAAGATCCACTCCATCTTACAGAAGATACTACCACAGCTGCAGTTCCACCACGATATAGAAGCGGCCCAGCCCTCATCTCCTACTGTCCAGACTGGTCACGTTCTGCAAAACAAGAAATTGACCTTACTTGACAGCCGGGTCAAGCATCAGCCACAAGCAACTGATCATTATCATCCGAGGGCGCTGTACTACATGGACGATCATGTACTCGGCCATGTGAGCACAGCTAACATTGATGATCAGACTTACGACGATAGAGAACTTACTCCAGTGTCAACAGCATATACAGATCTGCTGACACCTAGAAGGAAAACTCCTACTATCACAGGTAATAAAGTGCTCTGTAGTCGGTCGAAAAATAATAATCACCTCATGTATATTTTGTACTGTACTTTATTATTAGTATTATTTATGATATACATACTTTTATGGATACACTGTCCATGCAGCACTGGGTCCAGTTTATAAAAGAACTCCCTAAATGCATCATGTATTTAAAAAATGAGCTCCAGTCGGAAGTTGTGTAAACAAACAAATGTATTTTACGCATAAGTCGCAGGGGACCCATATAAAACAAGAAGCTGAGCGGTGAAAGTGACGCTAATATTTTAATATTGTTATATTTCAGTGGACACTATCCCAAGGATAACTTCAATATCGACAAAATGTCTTCCACCTTTGGAACCGGGAGTGCGACCAACACGGCCGTTTATGTACAAAGGAACCATCATGCCTGATCTGACTCTGGGTAAGTGGTCACTTTAATTGCGTACTGGTCATAGGGGTTTTACTAAGCTCTGGAGTAGGCAGCTATATTTAGAAAAAGTAGGAAGCCAAGTTGTGATATTTTTCTATCCTCGGGGGCGGAGCTACGCCACAGACGTTCTACGTTGCTAAGACGCGCATCACTGTACCACGTATTTCTATGGGCTTTGTGCGCGCTGCTGTGGAACGCCGGTGGAGCCGGTGAAAACTCGAGAAAACAACACAAACTCAACTTTGAAGTAATCCTAAACAACCAAATTCATATATGTTACACACGTAGGGCTAATCTTGTTACACTGTTCAGGAGACTCTCAACAGCCTTCGCAAAGTACCGTTTTCTGCGAGTTTTTGGTCTTTGTTTTCACCGCGAGGGTTGCCAAGCGGTAGAAAATGCCCGGATGTCCGCCCCCGTGGATAGGTTGGGCTGACTGACTTGCCAAGTTGACAGCTATTTCACTGACAGTCACCTCTTATAAGGGCATATATGCAAATAGTTTATAGACTGACTTTCAGCAGTTACTATGAACTACAACATTGTATCACTGCCAGTATCAAATGTTATCACAGTCAACAAAATACTAAGACTGTATCTATCATGTTTCCATGAAGTTATCAACAAAATCTATTGAAATCATTATAGTATTCAATCTTTTTATCAAATTTTCTCTCAGGCCCTGTGCCAAGTCCACAACGACATGAACCATCTGAGAGTGACCGTAATGAGACCCCTTACACTGAAATGGAAGCCTCGTCAATCCATGTTACTATGCCAACAGTTGGTTCAACTGATCGTAGCGGGTTATCTCCACTTGGATACTATATGGGTAGTCCAATCAGCATGCCACCAGGTGTGTCCGCGAAGACGACCACGCCACCACCTAGTGAAGATACGGTAAGTTAACACCACTTTAACAGAATGGTTTCACTCTACTCGTGTGCTTGTGGCACATATGCCTGCATGTTTTGCATGGAATGTTACATTATATTTGTAGGGGTGTAGTAAGATTCATGCATGAAATGAGCTGGATCTCAGCTGAGTTTACCAACATGTTGAATTATGTTTATTAATTATGTTAATAATTATTTTAGTCAACTTTTTATTATCATGCTCATTTCAATATATGGTCATTAAAGGGAGGTCAGAGGTCACAATCTTAACATTTCATTCTTCAATATTAATCTTCAGTAATAAATATATGTTTTTATATTTTTACTGTTAGTAAGTATGAATGTTAATTAGCATAGATATGTACACTAAAGCAATATATACTGCCAGCCAACACCAAGTTATGCTTGAATTCTCAATCTTGACTTTAACTTTAGACCTGGACTTGACCTATTTACCTAGACAGACCTAAATAGATCACCCTAGATCTAGGCCAATCTAGATCTAGAGCTGGACATGACCTTGGCCTAGATCAGCTTAGACCTAGACTGACCTAAACAGGTAGGCTGTAAATGAACCAACAAAATGTAGATATAGTCTTACACCACCACTGTTGCTTTCTCAAAATAGCATAAATAGCATCGTTGTCATCTACTTATTTCTATATAAGTTGTCAACATTCAAGTTTTTGACCAAAATCTATAAGTTGTATAATCATATTCTTTTATTTAGAGAAAAACTTATTATAGATAAAAAAGTAGGTGTATTAATAAAAAGTGCTGTCTCATAGTTTGTAATCAAGACACTGACTTTGATAACTCACAATTTTGGTGATGAAAAAAGAAACTCCTAAAAAAATGTTCATTTAAAGATTTGTCATATGAAAACAAAAAGAACAGACAGGACTTTAGAGGGTGCTATTTAGATTCAACACCCTGTGTGCATTTCATTATATAAAAACAAGAGTACAAAACATTAGGATTTAGAGGGAGCTATTTATTTTTCTGCCAACATTATTTTATTTTGCTCATATGTTTTTGTTCTGTTTATTCGAACAAGCATTTTAACAAAAATTGTTGTTGTTTTTTTGTTTTTTAATTTATTCTCACAGTCAATTTACCTTTCCATGGAGGTATTACATCAAAGTTTTGAATTTATTTTTCAATATTTTTAAATATCTTTCATTATGCATTCTTGTTTGTAGTGCATTGCTTATGGCTACCAAGTGTGTGTTTGTTCTTTCCTCCAGTAATTCTTCAACTCATAAACAGCATGCATTTTGATCAGTACTTCTGAATATCTATAATTTCACAGTTTTTCAAGAAAGTAGAAAAAATCAAAATTAACATGAAGTTAGTAAAAATTTATTCACAGACTGTTTTAAAATAACATGAAAAAGCAGATTTTGGCTTTACAAGAAGTGCAAAAGACATTTCTACATTATTCCTTCCAAATGTCTTTTGTAATCTTCATTTTTTGAATGCCGAAAATTTTTCCCTTCAAAATTTTGGTACCAACTTTCAACAAATTTGTTATAAATTTGTCTTTAATTTCTTTATTATTACTTGATAGGAAAGTGAAATGATATCAATTCAAATATTATTCTTCTCGTGATTCAAAAGTTCTCTCATTCTCTTTTACTACAAAAACATGTATCTCTTATTTTTACTAATTTGTTTGTTAAAATTCTGCATGCAATTGAATAATTTCTTTTCGCATCAAAATCTTTTATTATTATTTGTTTATTCTTTTTTCAACTTTTCTTTTGATTCATGTACTTGATATGAATAGAATCACAGACACAGATGAAGTCAACTGTCTTAACACCAATTCACTGACATTTCTACCATATGTATATGAACTAAATTACACAATCAGTTTGACAACATTTCTATCAAAATCCTATCAACTAAATTCTTACCAATTAAATCACCACCAAATTAACACCAAATTCCTGCCCTTCAAATTACCACCGAATTCCTACCAAATTTCTGCCAATCAAATTAACACAAAATCCCTGCCCTTCAAATTAACACCAAATTCCCACCAAATTCCTGCCCTTCAAATTACCACCAATCAAATTACCACCAAATTTCTGCCAATCAAATTACCACCAAATTCCTGCCCTTCAAATTACCACCAAATTCCCATCAAATGTCTGCCAATCAAATTACCACCAAATTTCTGCCAATCAAATTACCACCAAATTCCTGCCCTTCAAATTACCACCAAATTCCTATCAAATTTCTGCCAATCAAATTAACACCAAATTCCTGCCCTTCAAATTACCACCAAATTCCTATCAAATTTCTGCCAATCAAATTAACACCAAATTCCTATCAAATTTCTGCCAATCAAATTAACACCAAATTCCTGCCCTTCAAATTACCACCAAATTTCTATCAAATTTCTGCCAATCAAATTAACACCAAATTCCTGCCCTTCAAATTACCACCAAATTCCTATCAAATTCCTGCCCTTCAAATTACCACCAAATTCCTATCAAATTTCTGCCAATCAAATTAACACCAAATTCCTGCCCTTCAAATTACCACCAAATTCCTAACAAATTCCTGCCCTTCAAATTACCACCAAATTCCTATCAAATTGTTGCCAATCAAATTACCACTAAATGTCTACCATCAAATTCCTTTGAACCAAACTACCACAAAATGTCTACCAACCAAATTACCACCCAATTCATACCATTCAAATTATCTCTATATGCCCAGTTATCGATTTTTCAAACATTATCTTCTATATTTACCCTTGCTATTTTCTGAATATACATATGAATTTCATCCTGTTATACACTCCTGTAAGTGTGTGTATAACAATCTTTATTTTTTTGATAAGATGATGCAGTCTTACTACCTAAAATATTCCTTGTCTTGACAGTTGACAAGCATTTTTGACTGATATTCTAATTTTTTTTTATCATTTTTTTTCCACAGGATGGGGAGGAAGAATATCCACTGCATGCCCTATCACCATCTTTATCAACTCATGTTCCAAAACCACCCTTGGGCACTCCCAATACTTTACCCAAGACTAGTCAAACGTGGAAACATGATGAGAACTGGTCTCCTATTCAGCCACGGACACCAGCAAACACACCCATGACTTCACACATTCACTTAATGGCAACTACAACTCAGGAGAAACCACTGGGAACGATTGCCGAGGCACAGAGCGAATACATGGAAAGGTCAACGCTGCAGGGTCCAAGGAGTAGTACGGTGCCACTCATGTCGCCGTCACCACCTCCGGATTTGTTGTTACCGCAAGAAAAATCCGAGGTCACATCAAATAGTAAGTCCCCAGCGTTAGCGAACAGCGTGATCCCGCAAGTGTCTGAGAAATCGAAACAGTCTCCAATACAGTCATACCACACATCTGCACCAGAGATGCAGTCACCGGAACCGTGGCCGATTGTTGATGAAAGTGACTATTATAACAAAAGCCCAGATAGCAGTAGAAAATCTGGTCATTCAGAGTTGGTGGCGCAGCGACTTGCCGATCAACAAAGCATCGAAGACGTTGCCCCAGCACCTCCTCCTCCATCACCAGAACCTCGCGACTCCACCTCCAAAGAAGTTGACTCTACTTTGGACAAGTATGTAAATGAGAATATTGATGTTGGGAAAAGTTCAACGACCTCAAAAGGATCACTAGCTCCCCTCCAAGAGGAAGGTGATGAGGAGGGTGATGTAGGTGATGCAAGCATCGTCATAGCGAGCAAAGATGATGATCAACCTCCAGAGATTGAGTTGGATGAAACTGATAATGTTGTGGAGGAGAAAAATAATGCACATGTGGAAACACTGACAACAGAGAAAACAGACTCAAGGAAGATTGATGAAAAGCAGTCAAAGGACAATGAGGAGGAAGTTTGCAAAGATGATGGGACAACTGAATCCACTCAAAATGAGGCAGAAAAAAATGCCTCAAATAATCTAGAAGGTATTTTAACAGCAACAGCGTTACTCTAATCACAGTAGATGCTGTTTATGTTATTGTCGATTTTTTTAAATAAAATTTGGCTTGAAAATAGTTCAGAGTCATGTTAGCCTTCAAACAGTGGGCACAAGATTTGTATGGAACTTTGCAAACTTTCTAGGAAAGTCCACATGAATATTGCAAGATAGCGTTATCAAATAATCTAATGTTAAGAAAATGATTTGCTACATTTTGTGACAATTTCACTTTCCCACTTGATTTTGAACTAATTATTTTTTGTCTCTGTACATACTATGGCTAAGTTGTTGTCTGTTTTCATATTACAACATTGCTGTGAATATACAAAAGAAGTTGTGAATTATCTGTACGGGCGAAGTTGATGGGGTTATTGGAACATTGATAGAGACTTTACTAGGAAAGTTGCAAGTTTAATACCCATATGAATCTTGTTTGCACCCGCTCTAACAATGTACCATAGACAGCTATAATTTCATGAAAGACAACATTTTTGCAAAACTTGAAAATGAACATTTCATGAAGACCAAGAAAAATTAAAAATGTAGCAGTCATCAACATGCTGCAGTCCTCCATTCAAAACAGTGACCTCTAGCCACTCCTTGTGAAATCTGCCATCTTTGATTTTTTTTCTTTTTTTTTTTTTCTTAACAAAAAAAAACCTTGTTTTCAGTAAATCAGAAACCATTTCTTCGAGTAGCTTCAAATTTCATCTTTAACTGATTCAGGCATATATTGTGAATAAATAAATGAACTTTATGATTGATATTTCCCAGAATATTTTAAAGAAGAAGTCAGTCAGTCCCTGGGATGCCTTGTTCTACATTTTATTCACTATTAATATTATGTTTGCTGTGATATTAGTCTTCCCAAGCAATGTTGATCAAATCTGTACATTGTGGCATTTGACGTGTTTTTAAATAACCTAATATCTAGGGTTGCCAAATTACGCAGTATGAATTGAATTTTACCAGACATATGTGATTCACTGTATTCGCATTGCATGGTTGTGCAGTTTTTGTAGTTTTTTTTTTTTTAATTTAATAAAATTTAATTTTAAATGTCTAAACTTGTCAATTTGTAATTGTGAAGCAATATGGTATAGATATACATGTAGGTATGCATCATAGTCATCTTCCAGCGGTACACGTTTGAATTTGGGTTAAAAAACAATGTTTTTTGACACGTATAAATTTACATGGGGCCATATTGACCACAAGATGGTACAGCAGCTGCTCTGTAGATCTATATTACAGTACCTTATTGCATTCACGTTACCAGAATTTAGAATAAATGATTGATGTATTGACTTCTGAAAAAAGATACTCTTATGTTTTATATCTCGCACGAGTCGAAATAAATGCATCCTTGAAAATAGTATGTCTAGTATTCCGAATAATCAGATATTTATCATGGTGAACACAATATACAAGAACTGGAAACCGAACAGTGTAGTCAAACCAGTAAGCAAAAGATACTATGAATACTATAGTATATGTATACATGAATATGTAAAAAAAAATATTAAAAACCTATAGCTCCCATGGGCAAGTTGACGATCCCTAATATTGCTAAACCGTCAGTTTTAAAACATTCTCAACACTGAAGAAAAAACAAGTTTGTGCCACTCACCGCGAAAGCCAATCATCGCGAAGCTACTAGTATAGTACCAGAAAAAAATAAAACACTCCAGGAATGAAATAATTCAATTGCCTTTAAATAACAAACTGTACAACACAAACCTATATAATAACGTTTCCCTTGCCACGTCTCTATCACATTCTCAAAATGACTAGATTAATTACAATTGTATTGCAAATAAATTGAAGTGTACTAATTAAGGGTTGCAATGAGAACAATTTTGATAGTTAATGGTTTGAATAATTGCTCACATAAATATCCCTGTAAGCTGTGCTGAGTGCTCCATGAGCAAGAATGGAAATGTTGGTTGATAACGTGTGTTACCTTGGTTACTGCTTCATATGCTGATGAGCAGTAACGATGAATTTTATTTTCTTGCAGGGTATGGGGTGGTCACCCTTTTTCTCATATACATCATCACCTTCTGCCTAAATTTAAATCATTGTCCGAATCATATGATAACCAAGCATTCAACTATAGGAAAATTACAAACACTCGCAGAGTTTAGATATTCCCTATAAGTTTTCACTGGTTCATAAAGCAAACAAACTCAAAACACAAGTTGGTTATCCCAAAACACCTGAAATTTTGTCAGTGCTAAGATATAAGTGGAATAGATGAAAATTGGTTAATTATTATGCAAAATAGATAATTGATACAGTGTTTCATCTAGGATGAAGCCATGAGGGGGGATTGTCCCCCTTTGGTGTAACAATTGAGGGGGACTTCACTTTGTCAAGGGGGGATTGTACAGAGTTCAACTCAAAACTGATCAGGTTTGCCACTACTATTTGGATTGCACATTCCCGATTGTGAGTTAAAAACACCAATTTCCACTACATTCAAGCATTCCATTGCTAAGTAAGTACCATGCTGGATGAAATTCCAGCAATAAGTCATGGAGTAATATGAACATGATACCTTCACACATAGAAACAATAGTGTTCTGCAAAAACAATGTTACACTTCAGGCCAGACTTTTTTTTATTCCTTGTTTCTCAAGTTTTTTTAAGGCAATTTTTTTGAGGAGGGCGGAAAAAAATTAAATTAATTCTTTTTTTCCATTAGATTTGTGTGATTCTCAAAGAATTGTAAGTGAGATCATTGATCGGAGAGAAGAAATGAAATAAAATTGTATTCCATTTATAACCTTGTTTCTCATCTGCGCGAGACTTCGGTACTTTGATCATGATACTCCCACGAAAATGCAACTTGGATTTCTTATGCGGTGGGCGGTAAAAAAATGAAGATAAAAATAATATTTTTTTTTAGCAATTTTTTGCGCTTACAAGTCGGCGGGCGCGAGAAATTACACTGAAATAAAATTTTATTTTTATTTCATTTTCGGTTCCTGTTCATTCGGCGGGTCCGCGAAACAAGAGATAATAAAAGTCTGGCCTCATGAAAAATTTTAACAATATGCATACGTGACATGCAATATCAAATAATACTGGGGGGAAAAAAAACTCAATAACCAGATACATGTATATAGAAATATGCACAAAATAAATATGATTGTATATTAGTGTACAAGAGCTTTGAATTGTCTATTATGCAAATTATGTAATTAATATGCATAGATCAAGGGTTAAAATTAAGGCGATTTCAGCTTGGACAGGTAAATATAGAAATTGACTGTCTGTAGACAGGTGAAAACAAATATTAAGTTTTTTACTATCTGGCAAAATGCAGACCAAATATGGTAATGGTGTACCAATAAAATAAATATGGAAATTTGATTTCAAATCATGTATGTATTTAGCAAGATTAACAAATACTGGTACATGATTTATTCCCCAACCCTCCCAGTGGACAAACGTTATTTATTTTATTTAAGTCTGTGGATAATCCCACAGCACCAACAACAAATGGCATCAACAAATTGGTTAATTTATGCAAATCAGGTAATTACTATGCATGGATTGCAGCCTCAAACTAATCAGGTACTCAACTCATTACACAGCACCATCCAAATCTGTTGAGTGATTTTTGAGATATGAACGGAAACGCTCAATTAGCTGATTATGCAAATTAGATAATTAAAATGCATGCATTTCAACCAAGAACTAACCAGTTTTGTGGTTATCCCAGAACACCTACATATGCATATGAAACTTTTCATTGAAATTTTGTCAGTGCCAAGATATCAGTGGAACTGAAAATTGGTTCATTATTATGCAAATTAGGTAATTAATATGAACATTTTTCAATCCAAAACTGGTCAGGTCGGCACATTATCCCCGAGCATTTTATAATGTACCAAGTTTCATTGAAATCTTACTATCAGTTCTTGAGAAATCAATGGAACATATACACAAGACCACAAAGACTCCCATTGTGTTCTTTGAGTTAAAAACACCAATTTCCACATTCAATCATTCCATTCCTGGCATTCCATTGCTAAGTAAGTACTATGCTTGATGAAATTCCAGCAATAAATCATGGAGCAACATGAACATGACACCTTCACAGATACTGGTACTCAGCACAATATAGTGTTCTGCAAAAACAACTTCATGAAGAATTCTAACAATATGTGTACATGAAATGCAATATCAAATAATATTAGGGAAAAAACTCAATAACCAGATATAGATAAATATGCACAAAATAAATGTGATTGTATATTAGTGTACAAGAGCTTGGAATTGTCTATTATGCAAATTATATAATTAATATGCATAGATCAAGGGTCAAAATTAAGGCAATTTCAGCTTGGACATGACATACAATATCAAACAATATCAGAAAAAACTCAATAACCAGATGTGATGATGCTTCCATACATATAGGAATAATTCTTTTAATACTAAAACTCGGATTACAATAGACAAAATGATGATACCCACATTGGAAATCTAGGGAGAAGTTATGTTGAACTTCACAAAGTATTGTTCATTTAAAACAACTCTGAATACATATATTTAAAATAAAAAAACAATAACTTCAGAGAATGAAATAAATTCTCATCCAGTAGTTTTCATGGTTATATAATCACACATTACATAATCTAGGAAATCAAAAAAAAAAAAAAAAACGTTTTTGCCAAGTAAAATGAAAAATAAACTCTTAGAAAAAAAAATTGTTTCTGTTTTCACTATTTTTACTAGAAAAATCTCCAATTGCAAAAACCTGGTCTTGATTTAATAATCATTGATCAGCTTTCACTACAGACCCTGTAATGGGATTTATGCTTTCAATTAGAACTCTGAGATCAAGCAGTGTTCAAAGGTGTAAGTAAAAGAAAATCAAACAGGGGAAACCAAAATAATTGCCAACGTTTGGACACGCTTATAATAGTAGATACGCATGATTTCTCAACTTTAGAAAATCAAATAATTCACATAACAAGACTCCAATAAAACTATGATCTCAGAGTTCAAGTTTAAAACACATAATTAGCATCTGAGTAAAATTGAGATATTAAAAGCAGAAACAATAAATACACTAACAGATAATGGGGGGGGGGGGTGAATTCTTCGTTCATTAGCCAGCTTGAAAGCCGCAGATGCTAAGAGTGCAGACATTTAGAAACATAGTCTGAGTACTAGCCCGGAGCGTTGGTGGAGTGGTATAAATTTTATTGCCTAATTCAAAATTACAATGTCATCATGCCAAGACTGGGCTGAGACATAGTCGGCTTTCGAGGTCATCAAACACAGGAGACAACAAAGGAAAAAAAGATTACTGGTTGTCATGACAACAAGTACCAGTGATGTGAAGAATACACATAGGTATGGATAATAACAAGAACTTTCTCTATTTATGAAAATACTCAATAATATGGACAAAAATATACATATATGGTGTCTGATTTGCATAACAAAAATATTAGTTATTACTCAAATAATGCAACAGTTTTGAGCAAAGATGGTTAAAAGCATACTGTTGAATACTTTATTTTCACTATTTTCGCTGAATGGATTCCGTGAAAATAAAATCCAGTGAATATACCTTTTTTCCCATATTTTACATTCAACTCGCCAAAAATCAGTGAAAATAAATTCCATACAAAACACTCAAAAAGTCTTTTCAGTGAAAATTAATTCCAGCGAAAATAAAGTATTTCACAGTATTTTCTCTTTTTGAATTGCCTATGTGTACTTATGTACTAGTCAAAATAGTTTACATCATAATGCTGACAAGTACACCTCTAATGACTATCTAGTACTGTAAAATACTTTATTTTAGCTGGAATTAATTTTCGCTGAATGGACTTTTTTGGTGTTTTGTATGGAATTTATTTTCACCGTTTTTTGACGAGTTGAATGTAAAATATAGGAAAAAAAGCATATTCACTGGATTTAATTTTCAGCGAAAATTAATTCCAAGTGAAAATAAAGTATTCCACAGTAGAGCAAAATACAAAGCAGTGATGTAGCGTCCAAGTTACTGGATAATCTAAGTGTGGCTGGTGATGCTGGTGTATTCCATATAATGCAAGTTAATCGTTAAGGTATTAAGCATAATATATCAACTTCATTTAATTTTCACTTTTCTAACATTTACTTCAATTATAATTAGGAAAACCATAGATTGATCTGAACATTCTGATAACAAATTTCAGTCAAGTCCCATTTTTCAACAGCCAATGAGAAGACTGAATTTCTAACAGTGACATATGTGTAAAACACGACCAAGCACAATACTGTATGTAAGGAGCACTGTGATTGGCTTAGTACTTTAAATTTCAGAGATTTTGAAAAATAAACTAAAGTGTTAGCAAACTATAAAAATAACATTATCAGGGACTTATTGTCATCACATAGGGGTTCAATGTTGAACAGTGCAAGGAAAATTTAAAATGATATTTTGAACCTTTGAGTGCAAAATGTTTTCCCCTGCTTCAATTTGGGCAAATTTGTTCACATTTCTGTAATTTTCACTAAATTTAATCCTAATTTTGTAACAAACAGACAAAATGTGATATTGCTTCTAGTTTTTTGATCAAAAATTTTTGAATTTTTCACAACATTTAATGTGCAGACTATAAATGAAACAATTTTGTGGATGGTGCCTAAAGTTGACTTTGGCGCACAAAGATTTAAAAAGTCAAAATCAAACAACACAATTTGTTAAATTTGCTATGTTTATTTTTTTGAAACCATTATGAATGTCAGTCATCTAAATAAACCTACATCGTTTTTTTCATAATTTACCAAAAAAATGTGCTCAAGATCTGCAGCTAATAGGTTTTCCATTTAAAAAGAAAATACAGAAAAATGTGCAAAAAGTTGCATCAAAATTTTGGCGGGAAAAATTATGACATGGTTAAATAATGTAATGTAAATGCAAGGTCTATGGTTCAATCTTTATTGGCTGTACATAGCTTTTTCTGCTCTATGTTGTAGAGATCTGTTGTCACCATCAGATTTATCTGATAAGACAATCTGATGGAACGCATCAGTTCAAATTGTACAGCCTTCTATGGTACTGTCAGATTTATCTGATTAGACAATCTGATGGAACACATCAGTTCAGATTGTACAGCCTTCTATGGCACTGTCAGATTAATCTGATTAGACAATCTGATGGAACACATCAGTTCAGATTGTACAGCCTTCTATGACCTTGTCAGATTTATCCGATAAGACAATCTGATGGAACACATCAGTTCAGATTGTACAGTCTTCTACGACACTGTCAGATTTATCTGATAAGACAATCTGATGGAACACATCAGTTCAGATTGTACAGCCTTCTATGGCACTGTCAGATTTATCTGATAAGTCAATCTGATGGAACACATCAGTTAAGATTGTACAGCTTTCTATGGTACCGTCAGATTTATCTGATAAGACAATCTGATGGAACATATCAGTATAGATTGTACAGCCTTTTATGGCACCGTCAGATTTATCCGATAAGACAGTCTGATGGAACACATTAGTTCAGATTGTAGAGCCTTCTATGACACCGTCAGATTTATCTGATAAGACAGTTTGATGGAACACATCAGTACAGATTGAACAGCCTTCTATGACACCGTCAGATTTATCTGATAAGACAATCTGATGGAACACATAAGTTCAGAATGTACAGCCTTCTATGGTACCGTCAGATTTATCTTATAAGACAATCTGATGGAACACATCAGTTCAGAATGTACAGCCTTCTATGGCACTGTCAGATTTATCTGATAAGACAATCTGATGGAACACATCAGTTCAGACTGTACAGCCTTCCATGGTATTG